TAATAATAATAATAGAATATTAATATTAAATGATTATTATTATAATTCAATAAAAATTTAGAATAGAATATTAAATGATTATTATTATAATTCAATAAAAATTTAAAGACAAATGAAAATTTAATTAATTCTTAAATTAATGATGAATAACTAAGTAATGAAATAAAATACCAGACATCGTCTTGTTTGGGGGCTGTGGCTAAAATTGCAATTTAAGAACTAAGCCGAGCATTAGCTAAATTTAGGCTTTTGATGAGCAAATAATGTACTGTTTACCAGAGTATAGATAGAAATTTGGTTATGTAGCCCATTCTTCTAAAACGACGTTTCGTAGCTGCCTTCCACCACCAATTCCTTTTTTTTTTTTTTTTCCGGTTTCGGTTTATTCGGTTACAGCAAAGCACACTAGGGCTATTGCCTACGGGGAGGGAGGCCTTCGTGTGAGGATTTTTTAAAGGGAACTGACTCATATGCAAGTTACACACGGGAATAAACAATGAAAACGCCCGTGCAGCTAGCCGTTAGCCGGGAATTGAACCCCGGACCGAACTATTAGTGCTCAGCGACTTTACCGCTCGAGCTCTGGTGGGCTCTTTTTTTCTTTTCATTCGCTGTTTGAAAAACGGGTGTTCACTTTACGATAAAGTAAGCACCTGTTTACTTCAATTAAAATGGGTTAGACGATATGACTCTTCCTACTTTAATCTCACTTAGCTTTTGATTTCTAATATTGATTCAATGTTTTCTGTAGACAAAGTATTCTGATTAGAATAATAGATTTCAAACATGTTCAAAAGGTGTGTATCTGAATATAATTAGGTTTTTATAACATAGGGCACATTTTATTAGTTTCACATAGTTCTAAAGCAATTGAACCACAGCATCGCTGTTTTGAAAGAAAGTAAAAATGTGAGAAATGTATAATGAACATTAATATACAGGCTTTATTAAAAGTAGTCAGCCTTTTAAAACGTGACCGTCTATGCTTTTAGAGGATTTTTGGAGCTCTGTGCATTTGCTCTGGCATCTTAAAAAAGTGATGTTCAATATCAACGTATGTTTATGTTCTCAAAAATACAGGTTCTTTCAGAAAGCGACCTCTTAGAAGTCGTCAATAAATGAATCAGTATAGTTATTTTCTAATAGACCATCGAATAAATTTATTTTAACGTCAATTTAAAAATGGCTGCTTGTACTAAGAGTTAAGAGCAATAAGACTCTAATTTTTCTTTCGCAATTAGCTATCATGCCAGCTGAATTGTTTTCTGCATAACCTTTATTGTGTATAATTGAAATATTTAGCTATGCATTCAACAAATATACAACAAATGTAAGACAAATCATTAAAAAAAATTAAAATTTGGAACATTAATGATAATTTTTTGTTATACATAAAATATTATTAATGAATGATGAATTTATATCATATTATATATAATCAAAATTTAAACTCCTATTCCTTTATAATAAATTGAAGAAAAGCTATAAAGTGAATTAATTTTTAAAAACAAAACGAAAATTTAAAAAAAAAAAATTTTTTTCATATACCTAGAATCTAAAAATGACGAATACTGAATTTTACGACTCATGTGTGTATGGGTGTATTTAATTATGGCAAGGCACACTATGGCTATCTGCCTAAGAGGGGGGATGCCTTCGTGGAGGACTTTCTAAGGGAAACTGGCTCGTATACACGTTACACATGGGGAAAACCACGAAAACACCCATGTAGCCGGACCGTTCGCGGGATTCGAACCTCGGACCGAACTACCAGTGTTCAGCGACTTTACCGCTCGGCCGCTGGTGGGCCGTTTTACGACTCATATAATAATAAATGCATATTCATATTGTAACAGAAATTTTGTTAGAAGTCTAGCATATGTATAGTTATTTGTGATCTTTTAAAACTGTCGTAACATGATGCATATTTATCATTATCGTGAACCAAAACAGTATGCTTTACATCCTTACAAATATACGTGATAGATTTTAATATTTATTTCTGCATATACTTACGTTTCCCAAAGACACGAAAGCAAGTCAAGCAGATTTTTGTTGTATTAAGCAGACTTAAGTTCTCTGTTAGCTAGTGTAACATAATTTCGGATGTTAGTGTAACATAATTTCGGATTCTATGAGCCTTCCAGAATTATTAGCAAAATAGTGGAAACGTCTTTACAAAGTGTTTTTATAAGCAAACAGCAGATGTACACTGAGCAGTGATCAACTGATATATTTCTTAAATGATTTGGTTTAGTTGATTATGACAAAACACACTGGGGCTATGTGCCTAAAAGGAAAAATGCCTTCGTAGAGCACTTTCTTAGGAAAGCTGGCTCGTATGGTACGTGGTAAGCTGGCTTGTAAGCTGGTACGGGAAAAAAACCACGAAACGCTTATGAAGCCAACCCGTTTGCCTGAGATCGAACTCAGGTCGGAACTACCAGTGTTCAGCGATTTTACCGCTCGACCGCTGGTGGGCCATTTCTTAAATGAATAAAGGTATACTCATAGCATTATGAAATAACACTGATTGAAATATTTAGTGCTTCACTATTATCTCTAATAAAGTAACATAAAACTTTCCTTACCTTTTATAGATTTCTAAATTTCTTTTAAGTTCTTAATTCGTACTTAACCTATACATTGCGAATGTTTTTATCGATTTTATTGTTAAGTGTAAAAAGCAAGTTGACATTTATAATATAGCATTCCTTGTCTCAACAAATAACAGTCTCAACAAGGAGTTTTTGGAGAGGGGATGAATCGGGGAAATTTCACCCTTTTCGTCATTAGCGGTTCTGATGAAGGGAATGGGGGAAGCAGCAAACGAAATAACGAATAACGGACAAATAACGAAAGCTAATCTTTAATGCGGTCTCCCAGTTTCTGTATTTGTATTTGGGAAAGTTTTATGGTCATTATGAAAAAGTGAAAATTTGATATGGATTCCGCATGACTTCCTTCTACGACTATTTAAATTATGCTTATTTTTTGCACTTCATTTAAACTTATTTCCTCGAATTATTCTAACTCAATTAAGCGATACCCGAAGGCAAGTTACAAATGGCATCAAACATTGCAAATTTTGAAACTAAATTTCCCGGTCAATCTTTGTCCTACGGGACTCAAACTTCTTGTATTTTTATTTTTTCATAACAAGTATAAAACTTTGCCAGATATAAATATAGAAACCAGAAGACGACATTAAAAGTTAGATTTCATAATTTGTCCAAAATTAATTCTTTTTTAAATTTGACATTGACAAAATATGAATATTTTCGTCATTTAAAATACTTCTGTATTTTTGTTGCACCGTATTTAAACTTGCTTCCTCGAGTTATTGACATTAAATTACATTAATTCCATTATCTATCGGAAAATAATTATAGCAAATCATCTATTTACGACATCTCTAAGAGGTCACCTTTTAAGAGATCTCTATTTTTGGGAACATAAACAAACATTGGTAGTGAACATCATCTTTTTAAGACCACCACATGTAAAATCCTCTAAAAGCATGAATGGTTGCATTTAATGAGGACCCATTACTTTTAATAAGGAATGTAACATTAATCTTAATTATACATGTTTTTGATGTGTGTGCCAAAATAGTGATAACGTACTTCTGTTGCTTTAGAAATGTGTGAAATTAAAAAAAAATGGATACTATACAACAAAAATGTTATTATATTCAGATACACACCTTTTGAACACGTCTGAAATTCATTATTCTGCTCAACATAATTTGTCTGCATAAAATATTAAATAATATTAAAAAATCAAAAGCTAAGTCGAAGTAGAAACAGTCATCTCTTCTAAACCATTTTAATTGAAGTAAACAGACGTTCGCCTTATCGTAAAGTAAACACCTATTTTTCAAACAGCGGATGAAACGGGAAAGAGGGAATTGGTGGGGGAAGGCAGCGAACGAAATAACACTTTTTCGAGCTGGGGATGAAATGAGAAAGGACGAAACGATACTAAGCCAATAAGACAAGATCTGGTATTTTACTTTATTATTTAATTAGTCATCATAAATTTAAAAATTATTTTAATTTTTATTTGTTTTTACATTTTTATTAAATTGTACTTATAAGTATTTTATATTTCAGTTGCTAATTATTATGTTACTTTAATTATTCATTATTTTAATCACTATTTTTTATTATTTTAATTATTAAGTTTTTTAATAAGTAATTTTTTTTTGTTATTTTAATTACTAATTAATGTTATTATTGTAATATTTATTTCCTTTCTTTCTTTATTTTTTATTTTATTTTTTCCTGTTTTCCTGACGGCCTTCCGTAGGCCCTTCTGACTTTAGAAACTAAGCCCTGACAGCAATAGAAAAATTAATAATGAATCCAGTGCACCAAAAAATAATAGCCAAAATAAAGTGAATTATTTCTACCCCAAAAATGCGACGCAAAACTCCCTATCGCAGCACTACCCAGTTCCCGCGGGGTAGAATAGCTCACGTGATTCAATGCAATGCGACGTTTCAAGGCCCTTTTTAGGGCCGTAGACCGATAAAATAGGCTCAGGATACGGATACCGATCGATTTTACCGAAAGTAACGAGTAACGATACGATAGTAACGAGTACTGGTTCACCGAGTAACGAATACATACGGGTACACAATTTCTCGTTACTTCTACAGCACTACCTGATGACGAAACCTACGTGCCGACTTTCTAACTATATATTATTTATATATTTTATTAATACTTTAATAAATACACCATAGAATTTAATATCAGATACTGTATTAGTTGTAACAGCAAACGATAATACTTCTGCCTTTTGCTTTTCTGAAAGTAATAGTTTTCTCATTGGTGTTTTAGCAGAAATAATAATTATTGATTTCGGATTATGGAAAGAACTGCATTATTTACCTAAGATCTACACTTTGTCATTTGCCAACGATTGTTCACTCAAAGAATCTTAGCTATTTAAATACTTTTATCATTAGTTTGGCATCAAAATAACACATGGCGTCTCAAAATAAATTTTCGTCATATACGTCCGGAAAATGTATTTAAGCTTACATTACATATGCAGATGGAAACAGAGTTTTGTGATTATATAAAGAAAAAACAATAAAATATTCATTATCTGGATTTCTGTAGTACCTTGCAATATTAAGAAACTTAGCGAATGGAATCGAAAATGAATTGCGATTCTAGTTCTCCCTTTTCCGGGTCTGATTTTGACTCAGATAGTGAAGACTTTGAATTCAGATTTTTATCATCATCATCTTCTGCGTCATTTTTAACGTCTTCACCATCTTCTTATTTTACAGATGATGATTTTGATGTTGCTTGGTCAGAGTCTAGTTTCTCATTTGAATCAGATGATACCGATCACCTAGAAAATGTAAATCCTATTGCAACAGTTCAGAATGAGAATGAGTCAAAATTATCTCTTAATGAACAGCCTAAAGTCAAAAACACAACTACTTCTGATACTAAACAGAAGGAAGAAGAGAAAAAAACAAATATCTCTATAAAAATAACTATTGATAAAGAAGATTCCACAAAATCATGTCGCTACGTTCATGATGACAATTCCGACCGCACTGAAAATAAATTAAAAAATAGCAACTCTCTACAGGTTGTTCATGAGAAAAATTTAAGCAATGAAACTCCAAAAACATCTAGGTGTACTAATAATACAAATGACCCTTTCTGCGATTTTTGCGGTGAAGTGTTTAATTCACAGGCAGCATTAGATGTTCATAAATTAAATCATTTAGTATCTGAATCATATACATGTGAATTATGTGATCATGTTAGTAAGAATAGGGAAGATTACGTTTTGCATTCTAGGACACATGATCAGAATCGGGTTGTGTTAACTGGTACACTGAATAAAAAGAAATCCCATCTTAATGTTCCATTTCATTGTGAAACTTGCAACAAAGCATTTCGATTTTCTAGCAGCTATAAAAGGCATTTAGCGAGGCATACTAAATCTCATACTTGTAATATATGCAATGCATCATTTCCCACCCTTCTGTTATGTCATCAGCATAAGCTAAAACATGCCAAAAAGCGTATTCATGCATGTAATGTTTGTGGCAAAGTATTTCAGAGGGCTCATCAGCTAACTATACATATGCAAGTCCATGAAACTGAGAAAAAGTATGAATGTGTAGAGTGTGGCACTACATACTGTTATAAAACTAGTCTCATGAGACATTCATTGAAATACCATTCACCAAATTCTCCAAAGTTTCAATGTGATGTGTGTGGAGAATTGTTTAAAAGTAAAAAAATGCTTAATGGTCATACGATTTTACATACAGCCACGAAGCTTATAGAGTGTCCCGAATGCACACAGACATTTAAATACCGTTCTAGTTATCATCGCCATCGCCTTATTCATCAGAGCACAAAGCCATTTCGCTGTAATCATTGTGGTAAACTGTTTAAAAGTGAAAGTCTTTTGAAATCTCACAAAGCTATGCATTTTTCAAAGGATGAATTTGTCTGCAAAGTGTGTGAAAAAACTTTTGCTGTTGAATCTTTCTTGATTAAGCACATGTTGATTCATAAAAGTAATATAGAGCTATAAAAAGTATTCACATCAGAGTGAATTAAAACACTTTACATGAACTGAATAGTGTAAAATTTTAATCTGTCATTTTCATTTTACACTGAATTTTTTTAATTTAATAATTCTGAGTAACTTAATCTGATTTAGTTCTAGGTTGTACTCCAAATTTCAGTCACAGAAAGCAGTTGAATATACTTTCTAAGAATGATTCATTTTATGGAATTGTTATCTGCAAAGAATACTTTTTTAACTTTATGGAACTGAAGATATCAATGAAAAAAGCCTCATTGAATTACTGTTTCATTGCATTTAACTGCTTTGAGAATATTATATTTAGCAGAGGTGACCTTTCAGAATTACAAGTAAGGCATGAATGTTGGCTCTTCAGTGTTTCTGCATGAGGGTGGCACTTATGCATCCAGAAGTTTTTTTGGAAGGTTGTTGCTGGGTCAAGAATGTTTCTAGATTCTAAATTTCAATACCTTCAGGTATTATCTATAAAAATTTGGATTTAGCTGGGCAGAATCATTCTGTTATAACTGATGAATGTTACTGTCAGCTGCAGTTATATTTTGCATTTTTTCTCCTGACTTGGTTTGTTACTCATTTGTGTTTTTTCATGATGTGTTATTGTTAGGATAAAAGGCTATGTGAATTAGTTAAGCAATACAAGAACTATCAGGCTTTGGGTAGCGATGCCCATGTGGATTTTTTAAGAGGAACTGACCTGTATTCACATTGCACAAGAGGAAAACCAAGAAAACTTCATGCACCATGTTTGCCAGAATTCGAATCTAGGTCGAACTACCAGTGAACAACTTTTAACACCTGGCTGCTGGTGGGTTTGACAAGGATTCTAACATAAGGTGAACATTTCTTAAGTAATTTTTATCAAATCCAAAGGGGGTTTTCCCCTTTCTATCCCCCTCTCCGATCTCAAAATAGGCACAGTACAAAACTCTTAAAAAATTGTTAGAAAGGATGCATTTACAGTTGTATAATTTGTAAAATTAAAATTTATTGAAACAATTTTAAAATGCACAATTTTTCAGGTGCTCTAGATGAGTATTAAAATTGAAGACTCAAATAAAACAATATGGCGATCTTTGAAAGACATGAAATCCATATGAATACAAGTTAGCAACTGGTTTGCAATAAGTAGATTGCCTTTTATGACTGCCATCAGATTTATATACTGGAACAATTATTTGAAAGAAAAAAAAAAATAAAGTTGCCCACATTCTGCTGTCTCAATTGATTTTCAGTAATATTTGCCAGAAACTAAAGAAACTTATCTTGTTACAGTGCTTGACCAAAAAAAAAACCACAACTTTGTAAAATGTAATCAAAGGTAATATGTAAAAAAGAAAGAAAAATTTATTCTGATATGAAACGGAAGAATTCAAAAAAAGCTGGTTTTGAGCTTTTCAAAATGAACCACAGATTCCATTTTGTGGGTTCATATGACATTAGTTTTTTTTTTTTGAAGAAGAAGAAGGAGTCTTGAAAAATAAGCACTGGGAATCAAACCACGGACTTACGTGTGACCCAATTGCCAAATCCTGGAGGAGGAGAATCATCTTCCACCACCCTTTTAGTTCAGGTGCCACTGTAGGGACATTAGGTTTTTTTTTTTTTTTTTGTAAAGCAGGAATCTTAAAAAATGAGCAAAGCCCTCACTGGGAATCAAACCACGGACCTCTGAATGCATGCCCGGTGTTCTGACCACTACACTAAGAAGGCGGGAGAAATACCTTATACATATTTCGGAGTTCATATACAAAATATCGAGAGGGTCTTGAGCTCTTCATAATGATAGAACAAGAAACAGCAAGATACTATTTGAAGTCATTCTTAGCAGAGTTTCATGTGGCAGCAGAAAGCTCTAACTCAAGGTCTGAAACCCTTAGAAATGATTGCTAAGCATTTTCCAGCTGAGATAAAAAAAAAAAAAAAAAAAAAAAAAAAAAAAAAAAAATGAATCAAATGACTGCCAAAGTTAGCCAATCCCTCTCCATTAACACGTAAATAACTTAAAAAGTTTTAACTTCAAATAAATTGTCAGCGAAAGTATAATGGATGTAAAATTAGCGAGTGGAGAAATAAAGAAAATGACAAGCTACTTGCAAATTCTATACAAGCCTTTAGATGTTGGGGAAAAAAAAGGTGCAAATGTAATGTAACCTCTTTTTTTTTTTTTTTTTTGTGTGTGTGTGTGTGTGTGTGTGACTTCTTTAAGCCACAATTTTTATTTTCTGGTTTTGGATCATTTTGAAATTCGAGCATGAAATTGTTTCATTCGATTCAGAAACCTTGTGAAGTAAGAATTGTATCTGATATCAGGTTGTAGTGTCATGATTTGTATTTTGGTTTTCTTTATTTTAACAATACACCTTCTGTTTCGAGTACTAATAAAAAAGTTCAAGAATTTTTTTATCCCATAATTTGAGGATGAAGTTTTCAACTGGCAGACTGACATTATGACATAAACGAGAAGAAATAAGGTTTTTACGTGTGTTCAGATAGGCCACTGCTTTTTCATTTTTTTAAGGAACGTGTTGGATTTAATCTGAAATGTTTTAGGGTTAAAATATTGATAAGGGTGGGAAAAAGTCTTACTAGTGTTTGTGTTCGGATGGTGAAAGACTTAGTGGTATGTTTGCCACCTTTCAGTGAATGTCCCCCTCCCAGAGATTTTATATTATTGCCCTGAAGATATTTAACCTAATAATAAAATAAAAAGTTATATGTTTCTCAAAATTTTAATTTGAATTAATATGTTAAATTATGATATATATTTATTACTATTATACATTATTAATTCATATAAATGTTGTATTTTATTAAATAAAATTATTGTTATATTTTTTTATATTTGTATAAATCTGAGAAAAATTTAACTTACCTTTGGTAGCAGTTGCTGATATGTATATGAAATTATAATATATGATGTTTTTCAGATGAATAACTGCGGTTAATTTTGGCATTCAATGTCGTCATGTGTTTATGATGTCAATCATGTATTGATGATATTCTAAGTTAATCAGTACTGCATTTGTAGTGGAAGGTAAACAAATTAAGTGAACTGAATTCTTAAGTACTAGTTCCAATTCAAGCCATATAAAATATATTACAGGGGTGTCACTTCAGTCGTCATTAAAGATAAACCTGAATTATCAAACTGTAATATAATTCATATTCAAAAACATTATTATTCGACCTGGAGATTCACTTCACAGTTCTACAGGCTATGGTTTTTACATAGCCTGTAGAACTGCATTGAAAACAGGGATATTCAGGTTCAGACCAGAGATATGGTAACTGTTTTTAGAGGAAAACTGTCAATTAGGTATGGTTCTTTCTTGTAGCAATTTAGAATGTTTTTATTTCTAAACTAGATGGTTTCATATTTGATCAGAGACTTTATTTTATACCCTTTTTATATGTCTAGTGACATATTTCTAACCAAGATGCTTTTATGTTTGATCAAGAATGTTATTTTATATTCTTTTTTGTATGTTTGATGACAAAATTCCTATGACTATAATGTAATCACAGGTTTTGTAATTATAGTATTTTTTTAATGTATGCATCAATAATTTAAACCAAAAACAGCCTCCTAAAATATCTAGTCACCAAAAACAGCCTCCTAAAATATCTAGTCACCAAAAACAGCCTCCTATAATATCTAGTCAACTGTCTGTCCAGATATAAAATTTAACAATGACCTCTCTTTACACTTGCTAATGAAGTTAATGATTAACCCCTTAATCTACAATGATGGGCATATCCCGCGTACAATGGTCAGGCCAAACCAAACTTTCACGGGCACAGCCCGTGTACGATGGTTGGGCCAAACCTAACTTTCACAAGCATAGTACGGTGATCGGGCCAGAAGTGAATATTACTTGGAATATTTGATATGCAATCACAGTCTGATGCAATAATTGTGGTAGACGCAAGTATTACAAAATGTTTATTTATACAAAACTCCAAAATACGAAATTAGTAATCTGTAACAATATGATATATTTCAAGCATTCTGGTACATGTAACAGAACTTTACACTTGTGTTCTAAGTGAATTTTCTCATACTTGATCTGCATACTGATTCGTTTCGGTTACAGTATTGTTCCAAAATATGTAATCAAATATTAGATTAAATATATCAAATTCTCCTCTACTTCCTCGTAATTGACATAAGGCTTCCTCTCTTATGCCAGGAATCATCGTATAGTCCCAGATTTTTGGACTATTTCTTATTCCTTTCCAAAGCCAGGACTCTGGTAGTTGATCATCATCGGATGTATCATCAATAATTTTTCGCCTCTACTTCGAAAATTACATAATTTGTCATGTTGACGATTGCCTGGATTAGCGTGTTACACAAGTCGTGCAAATGTCCCGAACGCTGCGCAAGCTTGTATACAATTTTGGCCCAAAATCTTCGAATCTAAATCGTAGGTTAAGGGGTTAAACAGTAAAAAGTCTGATATCCATATTGTCAGGACTTTGAGAGAATTTCTGAAGTTTCTGTTTTTTAGATCATTAATTTAAAGGTAATGTAGAAATTATAAAATAAAAAATGGGACATAGTTGTTTGTGGAATAACAAAGCATTTATGATTTTAAGGGAATAATAATTGTTAAAAGAGCTCGATATTAACATTTATTTTGTTTTATTAAATATTTTGTTACTTCTTTGTTATAGTGGCCCCTAAGATCGAACCAAGATATCTTGCCAAAATCTGGCTGCGTGTTCTTATAACTCGCCACATAATCATATATTAGCACAGTGTTCCATTTTTGCTTTTGCTGTGTGCCCTTATATTAATTTTTGATGAGGTTTTTGAATTTGTTTTGTTTATTAAAAAATATATTTTGTGCTCTTTTTTTTTTTTTTTTTTTTTTTTTTTTTTTTGTAATATGATGTTAACAATCTTTAATTCACCATGTTAGAAGATGGATGTCATATAAGTTTTTTAAGAAAGAGGTCTTTTACTTGACAAACGAGTATGCAAAAATGGCAACAACATGAAACTTTATGTTAACAACGAAACCATTTGAAGATGCAGTGTTAAAAATTGAAAAAAGGGCCTCTGTGTTGGAAATTGTTTCAGCGGTTCCAGAATATCATTCATCACTGCTATTAGAATTATGTATTCTTCAGCACAGGAGTTGGCATCTATAAAATGGTGTAAGAGCTAAGTAAGTGTGAAAGTGCTGCATTTGCCTGGAACAGTTGCATGTGATAAAATAATAAGGATAAGGATTCTTAAAATTACTCTTAGGAAATAACATTATGAGCGTTATTGTTATATACTCTATTTTTTATTTTTACATTTGTGCTTCACAAGCTTAGCAGAATTATAGTTTAACTGTTTAACTGCTACGCGGCACAAAAGCGCTGCGTTCACTTGTCTCGAAAACCGCGACTCTGCGCTTTTGTGCTGTGAGTTTCAGTGTGTCTTTGTTGCTCCATGGGTGTGAACGTAGTCTAACCTCATGCGTACTTTGTAACACTATGCATTCTAAAATAACTAACTGCGTCGCAGTTTTCGAGACAAATGAACGCAGCACTTTTGCGCTGCGTAGCAGTCAAACAGTTAAGATCTTGGTGCTAATCTAAAAACGCCAAGTGCATCTGGGGACTATTATAACAAAGAAGTACCACCATTTTTTCACCATAAATTGTTTAAGTACTTTTTTTATATGTGGTAATACTTTCTCATTAATATAAAAAGACATAATTTCTTATTCAGTTACAAAACTCCTTTGATGAAGTCCTGTAATTGCTATCTCGAGAATTCATACTAAATAGTCAACTGAAGTCTTTAATTCTCAACAACCTCTTTATACAGTACAAAGTCCATAATCCGGACTCGTCAGGACTTCGGCGATTCTGGATTAGGAGTTTTTCCGGATTATAGATTATCAATTTAAATCTGGTAAGATGGCATGCAGAAATTACACAATTAAAAATATGAAACTGTAATTTATGAAATAAAGAGCAATTATGATCTGAAGGGTATCAAAAT